AAGCATTTCTTGATGCCTTTTGTACTATAAATATCTTGGAAAAGTCCACAGAGTTTATTAAAGCACATTTATAGGTAGCAGATAAAACTGGGAGAAACAATGTGCACTGAGTTATCAAAGCTGATTATATTTGGGGAAGGGAAAGTAGAATTATTGTGATGTATGCTTTCTTTGTTATGTGTGTCTTTAGTGTTTCAATTTTATATAATGAAAGTATTCTTTAATAAGCAGAAAATTATTAAAAAATGAAAAGAGAAACTATCTCAAAGCAAAAACATTAGGGCCACTGATGTACTAAAACAAAAGTTACATTAAAATTACAACAAATTTTACAGTAGTTTTCTAGTTGTAATCACACAAGTAATACACGAATACATTGTCCTAGCAAAGTTTAAACTGTAGATGAGGCTAAAGTTGCCTTGCACTGCCCCTGACCATAAGACACACATTGGCCTACAAGCCCAGTCCCCTACCTGCTCCTCAGTGGTTGCTGTGCATTTACACGTGCAGGTGCATGTGTGTACATATGTGCAATGTTTCGTGCTCATTAGCCACAAACTCATTATACCACGCCTATAGATCTCAAATGGCCTTTTATGCAACAATATGTTACCAGTATATAGAACCTCATTCTTGTTAATGTGTTGATCAGCTTTTCATAGTGTTGAGTTTGTTCCTTGTCATTACAAATTGAGGTTGCTTCCAGTTTCAACAGAAATTTAAGGAAAGTTTCAAAATATAATGATGCCAATAGAATAACAATACATTCTTTGTTTTAAGCCTTCATAGCAGTATATATATATAATCTTCCCAATTTGGATGTGGAAGGCGCAAGTAAACACTATGATTTAAAAAAAAAGATTGAAGAGTAGAGTTATCAAATTTTGTCAAGGGCACTATCAAGGGCCAAAAATACTCTAAGCTGAGCAGCTGAACCACAAGGACACTAGAGAATTCAACCTAAGAAGAACTTTAATAGAAGACGTTGACGCCATCCTTGCAGTATAACAAGGCAGGCAGTGAATAATTGATACTGTGTAACCCACTGACATGTGAGGTAGGCTTTCTGTGATCTCTTTGTAATGAAAATCTATAGCAAAGTGTCAACATAGAACAGCCAGGAAGCATTACAGAAGCACAGATTTTTGGTGTTAAAAGACACCAAAAAATGCAATTCCAATCCCCTTTATACAAAAGAGGAGCCTATTGTTCAGACGATTAAGTGACTTGCGCCTGAGGTCTAGAACACAAATAGTTAAAGGAGGTTTTCTCATCAAAAAGTGAATAGAAGAATAGTTTTCACTGGTAGATGCTTTCGAAATTTTACGAAGGATGGTCCCTTGTAATATCAGGAATGGAGGCACCTGAGCTGAGGTAGGGTTAGGGGTAGGGGGCTGACTGGGAATCACTGAGAAGAAATATGTAGTATGTACTTATTTGAGCCAGCCTGTGCTGAGACATTTGACATATATTGTTTAATTTATCCTTCATTACAATTCTGCCAGGAGGGGACTCAGACACAAATCTGCCCACAGTACATTTAAGTAAAGTCCATACTTGATTCCACCCTTCAGGCTGTCCTGCATGAGCAGCAACACCTCTTGCCTTGTCCCCTGTCCCCTCACATGCCTGTGGCATAGCTTAGTGGTTAGCATCAAGCATCTGTTCTCAGTTGGCCTGAGTTTGAGTCACAAATGCTCCACCTAAGATGGTTTGGATAGATTATTTTACTTCTTTCAGCCTCACTCACTCATTCTGTAAAAGGGGAACAAAATAGAGACTATCTTGTAGGTTTGTTGTGGAGAACAAAGTGGGGTAATCCAGGGAACATATTCAGACACAAGGAAAAACAGTTAGCACTGTGGTTTATGAATGTTTAATGTTTTTTTTTTTTAGTGGTATTGGGGTTTGAACTCAGGGCCTTGTGCTTGCTAGTTAGTCACTCTACCACAGGAGCCAAGCCTTTTTTGCTTTAGGTATTTTTTCAATAGAGTATCATGCTTTTTATGCTCCATCACAGCCTGGACTGTGATCTTCCCATATTAGCTTTCTGCATAGCTTGGAGGAGAGGTACAGATCATCATGTCCAGGTATTTTTATTGATTGAGATGTGGTCTCCCTAACTTTTTGCCTAGGCTGGCCTGGATGCATGATCCTCCCAATCTCAGTCTCCTGAGTAGTTAGGATTGCAGATACAAGCAACTGTGTCCATATTAATATTTTTATCAATATCAATAATTTCATGCCATCATATGTCATGGCCTTATTTGATGTTCACGTTTTAAAAAGAATTTTTTTATGAGACTCATCCCCCAGATGATAGACTAAGGGTTTTTGCACCCATTGATATTTGGCTGGCTGTGTATCCAGGTTTCACTTCTTCTCTTCTGCTGTGTATGAGATCACCAAGGTGAAAAGACCAGTCTGCAAAGTTCTTATTCCTTAAAATGCTGCATCCTGCCCTCCATGATTTGTTCTTCTTTTCCTCTTCAAGCTTATTTATCACCAAAGTCTCTAGTTCTTTTTATGATCTAGCACTTTGAGCTTCTTGTAGCTCTCCAAACAAGTGGAGAGTTTTCACACTTCCCTGATCTTGCCCCATGCCTCAGTCTAGGAGACACTTGTCTAATCTGATGCTAGTAAGGCTTTGGCTGTTCCTCCAGTCTGGGCTGCAAATGGCTTCTTTTCTGAGTGCTGCTAGATCACTGCCCTCCCCCCCAAATCTTGATGACATCTTCCTTTGTCCATTGGAAAGTCTGTATTTATTATTGCTTGTGCCATGTTGTTGCAATTACTATAGACTTATCATTTTCTTTTGCCAGATTTTGCTTTCTGAAGGAAGGAACCAGTTTTCTCTTTTCAACGCTTGTATGGTGCTCATTGCATAGTAAATATTCAATAAATATTGGTTTAATAACTTGTATTAAATTTTACTTTGCTACCTTTTCTCTGGGTCAGTGGGGTTTGCTGAGCCACTAGAAATTGAGCTTGATAACATCTTCTAGTTCTCACTAAGGAGATATTTTTGTTCATATTTTCTCAAAAATACAAAAATATGCAGGGCCATAATAGGAAACTGAACAACTATGTGTAACTGGCACCATCCATCACTGATGCAATGATAAAAGGAAATGACATGCACATTTCCCTCAAATTCCCAATTCCAGGTAAACCAACCTTCTTATTAAATGGACCCCTTAGTGTCTACCTCCTTCCTCTTCCTGTCAGTCTTCTGTCTGATAGTTGTCCAGTAGCTATGATTTGTAGTTCAGATTCTTTGGCAGGTCCCTGTCTGCCTTTTGTTTCATCACCACTTCCCAGTTTGAACTTTGCCCTCTAGCAATTTCCTCTGGTTTCTCTACATACACAGAATCACATCATTATTCCTGTTTTTCCACTGCATAAAATAGCCTCCTATGGTTTCTTCGTCTTAGTAATTAGTGTACACATTTTCCCTCTTAAAAATGCATGCAGTCATGTAACCACCAAAATAATCAAGATACAAAGTAGCTATGACACTCTCCAAGTCACCCTATGTCATGCTCCTCAGCTAGCCACCCCAGCATTCCTTGCAACTACTTATCTATTTTCTTTTTGTGTAATCTTGTCTTTTATAGGATGTCTTATAAATGGAGTAACAAATATCTACTTTTTGTATCTCGCATCTGTCACTTGGCACATTGCCTTTGAGGTCAAGGGTGTTGCATGTAACAGTGGGGCATCCTTTTTATTGTTCAACAGTATTCCACTGTATTCATTTATTTCATTTTTCAAGAATCAGCTTGAGTCACTTTCTCCAGCAAGTCTTCTCTGATCCAAGGGCTATGTGGTGCTTCTTTGTTTCCACAGCATCCAAAGTTTGCCTTCGTCATAAAACTCAGCACCCTGTTCCCTGTCTAACCGTGACCACACTTAAGTTTAGGGAAGGAGGAAATGTGTTTTCCTCATTCTCATATTCCCAACATACAAAACTATTCACATCACTTACTAAGTACTCAGCTGCAAGTATGAATGGATCTCCTTTGGTTTGAAACAGCCATAAAATTGGACATTTTGATACTCTAAAAATGAACTCCTACTTGATGTACTCTTAGTTCTCAGTACAGACTGTGAAATCGGCACTATTCTATACACCTTACAAAGCAGGAATTCAGGTCATTCCTGTTTGAACTCAAAGCCCATTCTCTTTTTGCTATACTGGGGCTTGAACTAGGAGCCTACATATCGAGCCTCTCCACCAGCCCTTTTTTGTGAAGGGTTTTTTCAAGATAGGGTCTCATGAACCATTTCCCCAGGCTGGCTTCCAACTGTGATCCTCTTGGTCTCTGCCTCCTGAGTAGATAGGATTACAGGTGTGAGCCACCAGCACCCCGCTTCCCAAAGCCTATTCTAAAATACAGTATGACAGTATTAATCCTCTGTAGTTTGACAGCTTCAAGACAACAAATTTGTGTTTGGATAGCAAATGTCCATCTCTTGTCATCTGTTTTCTGGCTTATCCCTGATCAAGCCATCTGAAAAGTGAAGGCACTATCTTGTTGGCTAAAAACAAAGCTCTCAAGTTAGGTCGGATTATGCAGTGGTGGCATGGTCCAGCAGATTACTGCTTCTTGAGAGTGAATGGCTGGGGTTGGCTAAGAAGCTGCAGGCAGCCATCACTGTGTATATGAGCTCTGAGCCTGCACCTGGACAACACCTGGCCACATGCAGGGGAAGTAATGATGAAGGAGCAGAAACCAGTTCAAAACGACTGGGTTGGCTGTCACTTAACCAGCTGTCTCTCAATTGGGAAAATTAATCTGACAACCACCCCCCACCCACCCAAAACTGGTAAATCACCATCAATCCCCAGAATGTAAGAGGGCCAGGGGTCTGTGCCCAAGGACAGGATGTAGAACAATAATGACATTGGTGATGAAGGCTGAATCCTTTTCCTTCCCTATTCCATATTTAGTTCCTCACTTCTGCAAAAGACTAGGAGGGAATTAAATTCGACTCACATGGGCCAGTCGATCAAATCTGGCAAAGAGCTCGTTGAGCATCCTGACCAGCTCCTGAGCAGACAAGGTCGTAGAGAGGTTGGTAAATCCTTTAACATCTGCAAAAAGAATACTAAACAACAGAGAAGGGGGTGGGGTGGAGAAAGCATATCAATATTTTAATCCATTCTAGAAGATACATTAACTCCATCCAAATAAATTAATTGTGTCTGTGGTCTGAGATTTAATGTCTCTGGCATGGATGTCAGGACAAATGTCTCAGTGTTCAACAAATATCTTGGCAGACAGAGTCCACCAAGACATCAGAAAGGACAAAGGGACAACTGAAAGCCCACCTTCCCATGCAGGGCTATGGAGTATAGGAAATACAAACCACTCTAAAGGGAACTGGTCAATTCATTGTGAAAGCAAAATGAAACTATGAATTATGTGTATGTTTCCACAATGAACAGCAATGCAGATGCCGTGAACACAGAGTAAAGCAGACTTGGGTATTGGGAAGGAACACAGAAGCTCATCATTTGAAGCCAAATGACATGCACACTACCCGAAATGGCAGTTGACTGGAGTTACGCTTTCTCAAAAGTGATGAGACCAGGTGGCAAGGCTGGGAGTCCTCAGGCAGAATGACCACTTAAAACGCTCACATTTCCTAAGAATCACAGTGGGGCGAGATCATATTCTATGCATATATCTTGGTATAAGGGAAGGGGCAGTCTTTCAAATGCCTGTAAAAGCTGGACATTGCAAACTGTCTGTTTACCCCATGAAACTGACATCATTCTCTCTATTCTGGTGGCACATGGCAAAATTGCGATTACCAGAAAGCATTGTGCTGCTACACTCATCTTGCCACACTTTCCTAGGAATCTCTAAAAGAAGGATGGGATCCCAAATAGGATACTGTAAGTCACCCCCACCTCTAGGATTCTGTGCACACAGCCTGTGCCTCCTTCTGTCATGGCACTTAACAACAGCACAGTCACAGGGGACTCAGTGTGCTTCATCTATTAGCTGAAGAATAGGGCAAAAGTCATCTCTAGGTCCCACTTGCCCAACACACAGTTGGCTTGAATCCAAGTAACAGAAATATTCAGAATTAAGTCCTCCTTCTTCAAAAGGTGGAAGGTTATGGCCTCTCCTGGGGATTGTGACAAATGTAGAATCTCAAGTCCCTTACCAGAATCACATTATCAACATCTGCTGTAGCAAAAGCCCCAGGTGCCAGGTGAACACATTAAAGACTGAGAAACACCAGTGTACGTCACAGCTTCCCATTAAAGTTTTGGTGACTTAAAGATGAGAGGCAGGGCCCAGTGCCCCGGTGTCATTCCATTGCTCATTCTGCTTCCCTCGGGTGCTAGGCTCAAGGTCATCCATCAGGTCTCTAGACTCTTGGCATAAACTTGTATCCTTCCAAGAGCAATAAATCACAGGCAATGAATTGTACAGGAGATAGTTTTTAGGAAAGGGCCATCAAACACACACCACCACACACACACACACACACACAATGGAGAAGAAAGAATGGATGCTGCAGGTTGCTATGAAGAGGATGTCAACTGGAAATAATTCCAAAAATGCTTCCAACACTGCAGCAGGATGGCTTTGGGGGCTGGGGAAGGGGCTGGTCTGGTTTTGTTCTCAAATACAGGCTAAGAACTGCCCTCCCCCACTTTCCTTGTCTCTGGTCCTGTTTTAGCACCACCAGCCTTACTGCGGGCAGAAGAGGCCTCTCTGCTCCTGGTTAACTTTGTCTTCCTAACACAGGGAGCCTCTGGCTGCACACATCTCACCACAGCTGCGCTCAGCCAAGATGGAGATGTCAGGAGGTTAGGGGGCCTGGGCAGGTTTCTGTCCCCTAGAAACATCACCCAGGAAGCTAAGAATGTAGGTCAGGAAGCTGTGTGTTAATTTAGAGTACTGTGAACTTGTGTAAAAGAGTCTGCAGCAGAAGATGGTTATGATAAGTGGGTGGTGTTGGAGGGGGGGAAAAGGTCACCTAAACTGTTCTAGACTAAAGGGAGCACAAAAAAATGACTAGTGTAGAAAACAAGCCAGAAATGCTCCTTACCGAACTTGAGACTCTCGAGTTGCAATGGTGTGGGTGTTTTGATGGTATGCGATGGTGTGGGTGTTGTGACAGTGTGGATTTGCAGGCTTGTTTATTTTTGCTTTTAAAGGAAGTTACTTTTCTTTCCTCTTTCTCCATGTGACATGTACTTTCATATGTCACATCTATCTATCTCTATCTCTGTCTATATTGCTATACATACATGTAAACATGCACACACATACATATGCATATATATTTGTGTAATTCTCATCCATTTATATATTATGGATGATGCATTTACTTATTTATTTTCTTCTTAAACATCCATCCAATTTCTGCTGTCTCTGGATTTCCCTTGATAGTCAAGCCACTTGACCATCAGGGAAGGAACATGGAAGACTGACTATGATGGGTGCTTATCTGCCTTCTCTCCAGCAGATTCCTATTTCCTTACCCCTACCTCCCTGACCCAAGTTTCCTTCTTTTTATGATCAATGAGTATTCTCTGCCTAGAACTTCATGATAGAACTCCATCCTGTGTTGATAAATAGGTACTACTGTTTTGGAATTGGTATTCTCTGTGGAACCCATTCCTATCTGGGTGCATCTCTTACTAGAGTTACTTTTTGCAAAGGTCTGCTTGACAGACTCAAGCATCCACATGGGTGATGCTACCATGCCTGCTAAAGGGTTGTGTCAGAATCATGCTGTTTGCTGGACATTGTGCTGAAATGTGTGCCCCTGCGTGAAAGATACAAAACACCTAGAGAGTCAGAGTTCTTCTCCCCTACCAAACTTGGGAAAAAAGAATGCATACTTGCCATTTTCACAGCTGATCAATGTGGGGATATTTACCCAATGTTTGGGAAATTTCACCCTTATGATATTTGAGAAGTTCAATTCTGTTGCAAAGAAGCAGGAGCAGAGAGTGGTTGTAAGGCAAAGGCAGCAATATGTGGCTTCCGCAGGTGGTGACACCCTGTGTCAGCGGCCAGAGTTAGGCAAGATAAGCAATGGGCCATTCAGACATGGTAGCAGTGGTGTCCTAACTGGCCTGGTGCTAGGGTGTGATTTTGGCTATGTGTCTGGATCTGGAACCTTGCTTCATTTCAGCCCTTTTCCCCAGCCTGCTTCTCTGCCCTTCCCTAGTTGTTCTGTGAACTGCCACATAGCTTTTCAGTACATTTCCTTTAAATCAGTCAGGGTTGCATTCTTTTGTTTGCAATGGGAAAGCAGGTCAGAAATAATCTACAGTATGTCTGATGCTCCATGAGAAGCTTAAGCCTGTGTTTTACGTATATGTTGTCTCATATAATCTATGTAGAATCCTGAAAGTTGGCTGTTAAAACACCCATTTTACAGAAAAGGATTTAATTGAAATTCAGGTAAGATAATTGTCCAAGATCATACCCAAGGAAGATATAACATTATAAACTTAACTCTGGTCATCCTCACTATAGAGTGCATTCTTTGATTCTTAGTATATGCCTTATAGAGTGTGTGCTGGGCAAAAAGAGTCACTGATGGACAGATGGACTGATAGATGGACATGTGTATGGACTGGTGGATGGGTGAACAGATAGCTGAATGGATGATAGATGGCAGGGTAGATGGATAATAGGTGGATGAATGGTTGGCCAAAAGTATGCTTGAAAAGGAAAAGCAGTTGTGGTCCTTTTTTGTATTTTTTAAAAGATGCATGTATGGACTATAAGGAGGAGATCTATGTGACTATACCTGAAGCCTCTAGATTGCATTTTGGGACTATTATTCCAATCATAGTCATTGCCTTTTCCATGGAAAATATAACAAACCTGCTGTTGGGGAGCCAACAAATATATCAAGCAAATATGATCAAATTCTCTGCCCGTCTTCTCTAGCCTCAATTTGGAAATGTAGAACTCTGTGATGAATAGTCATTAGTTAATGAATTAATCAACCAAGTGAAAAGAGCACTGACATTCAGGCAGTGAGCAGTCACAGCAGTGCAATGGGAGTGGTCAGGCATGTGTGAGTTATGTGGAAGCCAGGGCATGAGGGGTGTGTATCTTACCTGACATTCTCATAGCGATGGATGTAGATCCGATGGAACTGATGCTGCAGATGCTCGTCCTCCACATTAGTCATGTCATTGATCATTTCCAGAACAACAAAGCGGGGAAGAACAGACAGCACAAGTCTCTCCTGGAAGAAGCAAGAAGCAGAGCAGACTTGTTACACTGGCCAATTAACCTGTAATGGGAAGGTGGAGTGTGCAGAAGTCATGGGACTCTTTGATGAGCATCTTGAGGAATTGCTAGTTTCAGGCCATCTGTGAACATGAGAAGTATCTACTGAGCACTTATTTGCCAGCAGTGGGCTACATGTTGGGTATACAATGGTAAATTAAATGGGTGTGGTTCATACCATTGCAAACCTTTCATTTTAGTATGAAAAACAGACATTAAATACCATACACCCAGATATGCTCACACACAATGACAGCATGGTAAGTGGCATGCAAGGACAAAGCAGAATGAAAGAGTGTAACGGTTGATGACATGACTCAAAACATGGATTACAAATAACCTTTCTTTGGAACTGATGTTTAAACTGAGACCTGAAGATTTGTAATGAGCCAGATCTGAGTAGGGCAAAGAGAAATATATGGAAGGGAAACAGCAAGTGCAAATATTCTGAGGCAGAAAAGAGCAATGATGTGACTATAAGGTAGTGATCAAGGGGTGTGGTAGCAGATGAGGAAGGAGCTGGAGGTGGATCTTGCAGCATAGGATGTTTGCCTTTAATTCCAATTATGACTGGAAGTCACTAAGTGGTACCAAGCAGAGGGTGATATAAAATGATATAAAATGCAGTTTAGAGAATGAATTGTGGGGCTATGTCCATAGGTTGGGAGGCTCCTGTGTTGGTCCTGGTGAGAGGAATGCTGTTGAGAAGATCCATAAGACTGGTATCCAACAAAGATGGCAGTAGGGAAAGAGGGACACTGTGATGGCTGGGTTCTGAGTGTGGTTGATGGGGAAAGTATGATATGCATATGGAACCAGGGAACATAGAAGAGAGCCCCAATTCAAGTGGTACTAACTTTTTATCAAAGGTGAGAAGAAGTAAGACACATGTATCCTGGATGTGGGAACATAACACTTGATAAGACAATATTATTAGAAAGTAACTGGTTACCTAGAAAGACAAACTAAATCCTTGAAAGTCCCATGTTGTGGAAATCAGGCAAGAGTCTGCCTTCTGACACATGGTTTTCTATAGTATTGAGCTGAATTTAAGACAGGTGCATTCTAATCACCACAGTCTCTCCTGTGTATGTATAGATCTTAACATTCTTACCATTCATTGTCTCACATAACTCTGAAAATAAGCATGCAGAAATAATTTTCATTTAATGGGCAGATTGAGCCTGAAAGGGATCAAATGACCTGCACAACCTGAACAGTCAGCTTATTTATCCTGTTATTCCTTGCTGAGATTCTTGCTGGATGGGAAAACCCTGGATTCTGAGTCTGGTGGAAGTATTTGGATCCCATCCCCATCACTGATAGAAATGCAGTATTGTGTGATCAACATCATCTCCCTGTGTCTTATTTCCCTAAATTGGTAAGCAGCAATAATACCATCTACTTTGTAGGGTTGGTGTGGGAATTCAACGCAATGAAATGTGCCAGGCACCTGGACTCATTCCCTCTCCCTCCTCTCTCCTTTACGTAATCTTTCCTCTCATGCAAAGGGATTTATTAATGAAGTGCCCACAGAGTGTCATATAATGACTCTTTTCCTCTCTTGAAAGGTGTCCCATTGAGGGACTGAGAGGAGTGCCTTTTGCACATGCTCTGTCACAGTCAGTAGTGCTATTTGTCCACTTCCTAGGAACTTGTGACCCTGTGCACACTGTTGCTGCAAGGGAGTGGGTCAAATCACAGCTACGAGGGCACTGATGCTCTGTGAGTGGATGTTTGATTGAGAAACTGTCTGCAGCACTTGGGACAGCCTGGGCAAGGGAAGTGATGGAACTGAAGTACAAAGTTCATGGAAACCTGGGATCCTGCAGTCAGTTTATAAAAGCATTTAATTGTGAATTATGCTTTTACTAGTCTTGCATTAGGGATGATGTCTAGGACCGAGAGTGGCAGAAGGAGAGAAGGGTTTATGTTAGGAGAATGGTACAGAGCATGGAAAAGTGATGATGCCACATATAAAATGATTCAGAGGTAGGGAAGGGACAGAAACTAAAGAAAGGCACAGGAAAGGCACTCATTCCCACTCACGGTTAAGAAGACATTCCTCCCTGAAATCCAAACCCATCAACATGTTTATGGGGCTCTGCCATGGGTCCTGTAATCTGGCCATCTATCAGAGTGGCAGGAAACTTTTACAGCTGTCCTGGCTCCTCCCTCACCTACTATATTGGAGTCCAGGGGAAGGGTCAGGCAGGCACAGTGTTTAAAGCTCTGACGGTGTTTGGGTCATCCAGATAGGACTGGGATCTACTAGCCTACTCTGAGTCAAGCAGTGTTAGACACATGGCGATACGCAGAATTTACTGTAGTTAGTTTGTAGAAACTTGTATTTACAGACGAGACCAAAAATATGACATTAGTAAACTGATCAGGTTGTAAATAGCAGAGGATTGAAACCTCACTCTAAATAGTGGTCTTTCTGTTATAGTAGCTCCACTTCCTACAAGCTGTATTCTCATCTATTCTCACCTGATCCACAAGGCTCTTTAAAAGAATAAAGGGAGGAGGGTGAGTAGATCAAGTACTTCATATGTATTCATGAAAATAGAATGATGAGCCCTGTTAAAATGCTTTAAAAAGCAGTGGGAGGGGGTTAAGAAAGAGTAATAGAGGGGGTGTGCATTTGGTCAAAGTACATTGTATGCATGTTTGGAAATATTACAATGAAACCCCTCTGTATAATTGATATATGTTAATAAAAAAGAAAAAACCCTCATAATTAAGTCAGCAGGTGGGATATCTGGTGATAAGAGCTAACAGTAAACAATGAGGCCCTAGGGAAAGAAAAGGCTCCATTTACTTAGGAAGGTGGGGGACAAATTCCTCAAAGAGGATTCCAGAAAAAACGGATAGGTTTTGAAGATTTTTCATTATTATGGTTATTTATTCATATATTTTTCATTATTATATTCATTCATTCATTTAACAAATATTCATTGATAATATCCTACAGCCATCTCAGTTCTAAGCAGAGGAGAAACACAGGGAATAGGACAGGCAAGATCCTAGAGGGAGGTTTTATATATGGAGCTTGAGAGGGTCTGTGGATGGCATACTTGTCTGTGTGTCCTTACTAGCTACCTTTATGTGGCTCTGACAGCACCTGCTGTGGGCCAGGCACTCAGGTTGGGAGCTTCATACATAATCTCTTATACTAGTCACCATAACTATACGGCAGGGATATCTCATTGTGAATTAACAAATGAGAGGTAAAGAAACTTCCCAAGGTCACACGGTGAGGAAAGGCCAGTGTCTATGCCACAGACTGTTGGGGCAGAGAAAAATCTGCTTCTGAAAAAATCCTTTAAAGCCTAAGTCTCTGAAGTGGAAAATTTAATTACCAGTGAAATTAAAGGAGTGTGAGTTGCTTGTAGTTGGACAGAGCATACATGTGGTGCTCAATGTTTAGCTAACTGAACACATAATGAAAATAAAAAAATCAAGTACATCATATAGTTAAAGTGAATCAGTGAAAATAGGCAAGTGATGCCCAGAAATTTTACCAACATATATTCTGAAAATTAACAGCAATTTTTAGGGAGAAATTAAGGAATTTAACAGCTGCAAAGATGTGCTTGTGATGCGTTTCTTCTTATGGAACTTGAGATACATGGACTTTACCTTGTATCCCTTGATGTGAAGAAATGTCCCAGAAGCAGGTTATTAAAAGTGATTTGTCCTTGGCTAACAATATAAATGGTGCACGTTGTCTACATGGAAAAAGATCCAGAATACACTGCTGAGAATAACATGCATGCCCCTGATCTTGTGCTAGTGCAGACTGTGTGCCTAGTTTCCTGTCTCGAAGGTGTTGGCTAGGATGTTAACCAATGTCTTGGGTTAGTTCATTTCCTGACATCTTAGCCTTTTTCTTAATATGGTTCTGTACTTTCAATCTTTTTTTCCCCAAACTAATAAAATGATCTTGTAGTTATTAAAAAAATAAAAGCAACTCATCTGAAGTTAAATCCTTAGAATCAGACAGTTATATCTTTGGATGAGACACTGAAGCTCTGCCATGCTCCCTGGCTAACCTTGTCTTCTCCACATGCTGCAGGACCCTGAAAGGCTGGACAATTTCATCCAGTCTGTGTCCTCTACCTCCAGCAGATCACAGAGTACCTGTGTTGACTTGAACTCTTGTCACTACATTGCATGCCACTCTTCTTTCTAGCTGGAATGTATTTTTTTCCTTGTTAGCACATGGAGCCCTGATCTTCAAATTTTAGGGTAAATCTCATCTCCTTGGTGAATGGGATTAGTCATTCCTCCAATGTCACATCCCTCTGTGTGGATTTTTCTCACAGCATTTACCATACCACATGGTGCTAGTCTGTGTGCCAGTTGGTAAACTGAGCTCTTTGAGTTGATTTGTTAATATCCATGTCCCAAGTAGAATGCCTTGCATAGAAAGATTTCAACAAATATACAAATAATAAATGAGCAAACAACCCAGTGTAAATATTAAAAAAATGGAATAAATTAAGCAGGCCTGTAAAGAGCCACTCCCCTCAGACAATTATACACTCATAGCCTAGAGAGTTTGAATCTCATCAAATACCAAGCCAACACTGAGATGGTTGCTAGAAGCAGCTCAAGGGGTGGCACAGAAGCTTCTTCCATTTTGCTGGAGCATTGGCCACAGTTGTTTCCAGGGTGGAATCTGGATGGCTTAGCCTGAAAACTAATCTTAGAGCTGATGCTATGCAGGAGGTCTGAATCCTTTTGTTGGGTTGTAACATGCAGGTATGATATGCTTTAGGGAGGGAGTAACAGCATTTCATGGGAGCCCCATGTCATTCCACTAAGCCCACAGAAATGTGCAAACAGATCTGTTTTTTTCCTAAATGATGATTTACAACCATGTGGGTGGTGAAAACAGCCACTTCAAGAGATTAAAAATACAGTATATAAATAATCCTGGCTAATTGAAAA